ATAGATATACAGTGGGTGGATGTGTGGGTGGGTGGATATATGGTGGGTGGATGGATGGGTGAGTAGATGGACAGATATATGGTGGGTGGATGTGTAGGTGGGTGGATATGTGGTGGGTGGATGGATGAGTGAGTAGATGGACAGATATATGGTGGGTGGATGTGTGGATGGATGGATGGATGGGTGAGTAGATATATGGTGGGTGGATACGCGGATGGATGGATGGATGGATGGGTGAGTAGATAGAAAGATATGGTGGGTGAGTGAGTGGATAGATGGATGAGTAAAGGGATAGATACATGGTGGGTGGATGGGTGGGTGGCTAGCTGGCTGGATATATGGTGGGCGGATGGATGGATGTTCTATGCTTGATTACACAGATAGGTAGGAAAATCATGATCCCATGAACAATCTGAATGGGTGAACTGAAGGATGGGTGGGTGGGTGAATCATTTGACCAGTGACTGAATTCATGGATGGATGGACAACTCAGTGACCAGATGAAGGTGACCTGGATGCCATCTTCCCACAGCTGCCCATTGTGGCCTCGTCCATCGTGTCCCTTTACTTCCTGGAACTGACCGACCTCTTCAAGCCAGCCAAGGTGGGCTTCCAGTGCTATGACCGCACGCTGTCCATGCCCTACGTGGAGACCAACGAGGAGCTCATCCCGCTGCTCATGCTTCTGAGCTTGGCATTCGCTGCACCTGCCGCCTCGGTCAGTACCTGGGAGCATGGGGCAGCCAGCCTGGGGGCACGTAGGAAGCCCGCTGAGCCTGTCCCTGTTGGGCAGATCATGGTCGGCGAGGGTGTGCTGTACTGCCTGCAGTCTCGGCTATGGGGCCGCGGCGGGGACCCGGGCGGGGCAGAGGGCAGCATCAACGCCGGTGGCTGCAACTTCAACTCCTTCCTGCGGCGCACGGTGCGCTTTGTGGGTGAGTCCCCGAGTCCCCAAGTGAGCGCACGGGGGTGGGCGCATCGGTCTGGCCCTGACCCTCCCCCACCCGCAGGCGTCCACGTGTTTGGCCTGTGCGCCACGGCCCTGGTGACTGATGTCATCCAGCTGGCCACAGGCTACCACGCACCCTTCTTCCTGACCGTCTGCAAACCCAACTACACGCTGCTGGGCACGTCGTGTGAGGCCAACCCCTACATCACGCAGGACATCTGCTCTGGCGCCGACGCCCACGCCATCCTCTCTGCGCGGTGAGCGCCTGCCGCGCCTACAGTCTCCGTGGGGGTAGTAGCAGGGCCCTGCCTGGGTCACCAAGCACATGGGAGGGGCGGGCCCAGGTCCCACAGTGCGCACCCCTGCAGCCAGCCGGGTCTCACGTGGTACCTCTTGCAGGAAGACCTTCCCGTCGCAGCATGCCACGCTATCCGCCTTCGCGGCTGCCTATGTGTCGGTGAGTCCACCCCGCCCTGCCCTTGACCCTGCACAGCCCCCGGCGTCGGCCGCCGCGCTGACTGCCCTCACGTCGGCAGATGTACTTCAACTCGGTCATCTCGGACACCACGAAGCTGCTCAAGCCCATCCTGGTGTTCGCCTTCACCATTGCGGCAGGCGTGTGCGGCCTCACCCAGATCACGCAGTACCGCAGCCACCCCGTGGATGTGTACGCCGGCTTCCTCATCGGCGCGGGCATTGCCGCCTACCTGGTGAGCAGAGGGGCAGGGCGGTGGGGTGCTGTGGGCATCTGGGTGGAGGCGAGGCCACTGAAGGGGGCTCCGATGGGAGGCAGGGCCACCATAGGGGTCTGAGGGGCGGTGGCAAGGCAGCCAAGGGGGGAGGCAGGGTCCCCAAGAGGAGCTGGGGGGCAGATATGGCCTTGCCCCAGGCACTGAGGGGAGGACATTGTCCTGCTGGATGGGGGCAGCTCTGCAGTGTCTGTCCCTTGGAATTTGGGAGTTCTGGAATTTCATGGGCTCAGACTTGTGCAGAATTTAAGCCACCTTGAGACCAGAAGGCACCCCCACTGGGAAGAAGCACCACTGGCTCCTCAGATGTCAAGGCAGGCTGCGGCTCCCCACAAGGCCCCCTCATTCCAGGCTGCGTCCCCCCCAAGACACCTCATTCCAGGCTGCGTCCCCCCCAAGACACCTCATTC